AAGAACACAATCTCCTGGACACCTGGGTGGCTCAGTCAGTTGGGCGTCTGACTCTTTATTTTGGTTCAGGTCATGATTTCAGGATCATGAGATCTAGCCCCGAGTTGGGCTCTGAGCCCAACATGAAGTGCTTGTGATTCTCTCTTCCTCTCCCTTAGCCCCTCCCCCAGCTCTCTCTTTCAAATAAATAAAATAAAGCTTTTCTTTCTTTCTTTTTTTTTCTTTTTAAAGAACACAGCCTCATAGCCTATTGCAGACTGATCTGAACAAATAAAATGAAATCAATGGTATTCCAGAGTCTCCCAGGTACAAATCTACAAGGAGGGATGAGATGCAGCTTCTTTTCTTGAAGGGATTACAATCTAATTGGGCAATAAAAGACACATTTTGTGAAGAGTTAAATTAATGCTATAATAAATATTTATTAATTTGAAACAGTAGGCACATAGGCTGGACAAATTGCCAATGAGTGGGAATAATACTGTCATTCAATGAGCATTTAGGAGATACTGAATCCTGTGCTAAACACTTTATTTATAAATTCATTTAGTTTCATTAAAACTCTGAGATACGGTTTTTATTTTAAATCCACATTTAATAATGAGTAAGTTAAGTCTGGTTGATTGGATCAATTCCTCTCAGAACAACTTTCCCTAATCTTTAGGAGGTGGTCAGTGTGCTAGCTCTGTTTTCCAACAATATCCTCCCTTTATCTTATTTATTACACTGTGTTGTAACTACCTGTTTCCTAGCCTGAGTCTCCCACAAGACTTGAAGGCAGATACTTGGTGTTTCCAGAGTATAGAGCACAGCAGGTGCTCAGCTTAAGTTTGCTGAGTGAATGAAAGTTGCGTATCTAAAGTCTCAGAGCTAATACATGAAGACTCATGCAGGTAACACTGAAGCTCAGGTCTCCCCGTGAGCCATTACAAGCAGATAGTATACACTATGGGGGTTCCTGCAAGGGACGCTCTAGTAAGTCAGTATCATAAGAGAAGGCTCCCTAGTGGAGGTAGAATTGGAAGGACAGAATTTGGAAAGACAGATGAAAGGTGAGCTGTCATTCCAGGCAGGCCAAAGGCATGAAGGTGGGACTCTACAAAGTACATACTTCCTCCAGTACTAGAGACCTCAGGGGAATCCAGGAGTCTATACTCCATCCCCTAAGCCTCTCTAGCTCACCAACCAGCTGTCACCTTCTATCTAACTTACATGCCAATTACTGCAGGGAAATTATTTTCCTCCCAGGTTTATAGGAAGATGGCAAATGCTCCTTTGTTTTCCCCTGCCTAGGCCAGGTGACATAAGGTATTCTATTAGTGGAGTTATCCATTTGGGAAGTCCTTTTTTTTTTTTTAAGCTTTTATTTATTTATTCATGAGAGACAGAGAGGCAGAGGCATAGGCAGAGGGAGAAGCAGGCTCCCTGCAGGGAGCTTGATGTGGGACTTGATCCCTGGACCCCAGGATCTTACTCTGAGCTGAAGGCAGATCTCAACCACTGAGCCACCCAGATGTCCTTGGAAAGTCCTTCTTAATAGTGGGATATTTTTGAGTTTCCATGAAGAAATAACATTCATTAATGTCCACGATATATTGCTAGATGGAAAAAAAGCAAGATAAAACACTATCCTAGGATTTCATTTTTGTTAAAAAGAAAAGAAAGTATTTTTGTGTGCATCTGGGAAATGTCTAGAAGGCTATACTCTGAATTTAACAGCAACTGATTCTTGAAAATGAGAATGTACTGGGATATGGGATGTTCACTTTTACTTTACCCAGTTTTGAGTGTTTGTCTTTTTAAACAATGAATATGTATTAATTTTATTATTTTATTTTATTTTTTAAAGATTTTATTTATTTATTCATGATAGTCACACAGAGAGAGACAGAGAGGCAGAGACACAGGCAGAGGGAGAAGCAGGCTCCATGCACCGGGAGCCCGATGTGGGATTCGATCCCGGGTCTCCAGGATCACGCCCCGGGCCAAAGGCAGGCGCCAAACCGCTGTGCCACCCAGGGATCCCAATTTTATTATTTTAAAAAAAGAATCTTTGGTGGGATCTAGGTAGTTCTTAGCTTATCTGTGATTAGCTCCTCCCAAATTCTCTACTATGAACATCAATTACTTTTATAATCAGAAAATTAAAAGCCCTTTTCCACCATCCGTTAAGTTTATTAAAATGAAAAGAGATAGATTTTCAAGATGGCATAGTTTGAAATGTTGGGGGACAGTATGTTTGGGGGAAGTACCAAAAGCGGTCTAAACTTTGCATCCCTCCCAAATTCAGCACCCAGACAAGCTGGATATAAAACCAGTTGAGTTACAACTTGGCAAAACATGTTAAGAGCTATAAGAATGTTCCAAATCCCAGGGTACTGGGTGGTTCAGTTGGTTGGTTAAGCATCAGACTCTTGATTTCAGCTCAGATCATGGTCTTGTAATCCTGGGATCGAGCCCCTGCCCTGCCCCTGTGCTCGGTGGGGAGTCTGCTTTTCTCCTTCTCTTGTCCCTCTGCCCACTGCCACTATCTATCATCTATCTTTTTTTTTTTAAGGTTTTATTTATTTATTCATGAGACACACAGAGCAAGAGGCAGAGACATAGGCAGAGGGAGAAGCAGGCTCCATGCAGGGAGCCAGATGTAGGACTTGATCCCAGGACTCCAGGATCACGCCCTGGGCTGAAGGCAGGTGCTCAATTGCTGAACCACCCAGGCATCCCTATCATCTATCTATCTATCTATCTATCTATCTATCTATCTATCTATCATCATCATCATCTATCTTAAAAAAAAAAGTTCCAGGGGATCCCTGGGTGGCGCAGCGGTTTGGCGCCTGCCTTTGGCCCAGAGCGCGATCCTGGAGACCCGGGATCGAATCCCACATCGGGCTCCCGGTGCATGGAGCCTGCTTCTCCCTCTGCCTGTGTCTCTGCCTCTCTCTCTCTCTCTCTGTGACTATCATAAATAAATAAAAAATAAAAAAAAAAAGTTCCAGATACCATAACTTTGAATACCATCCTGAGACTTTAGTTGAAGGGAACGCTTTTTTAAAAATCATATACAGGGGCACCTGGGTGGCTCAGTGGTTGAGTGTCTGCCTTTGGCTCAGAGCATGATCCCAGGGTCTTGGTATCAAGTCCTGCATCGGGCTCCCTGCATGGAGCCTGCTTCTCCCTCTGCCTATGTCTCTGCCTCTCTCTGTGTGTCTCTCATGAATAAATAAATAAAATCTTAAAAAAAATAAAAATTACATCAGAAGCTCACTGTGGCCTCACATTTAGTGGGGGTAAACTTCCCCTCCCAGAAGTCCAACAGCAAATAACTCTATCAAAAGGGATGTGAAATATGTCATGATACAGACATGTACCCATATCATTGTATAAAGATGAGGTTACAGAACAATATAGTTTCATTTATGTAAGAAGTATTTGTATACATTTTTTTAAAAGATTTTATTTATTTATTCATGATAAACATAGGGAGAGATAGGCAGAGACACAAGCAGAGGGAGAAGCAGGCTCCATGCCGGGAGCCCAATGCGGGACCAGATCCCGGGACTCCAGGATTGTGCCCTGGGCCAAAGGCAGGCGCTAAACCACTGAGCCACCCAGGGATCCCCCATATGTATACATTTTTAAGTTTAGTAGGATAGATAAAAAACCATTATCAAGGGCCATCTGTATCAACTGATAGGACTTACTTGCTCTGGCTCATGAAATGTTAATATATATAACTTATCAGAAAATCTGTGATCATGATAATGATGATGATGTGGGTGTGTGTATGTGTGTGTGGTTTTGTGTGTGTGTGTGTGTGTTTATGATTTTTTAAAAATAAGACCCTGGCAGGAGAAAGGAATTCCAAGACTGGAGATTGAACATCGGCAAAATGGGGCAAAGTGGATTTCACCTGTTCAGGAACCACTCAGTCCCAAAGAAATGATGGGGTTCATGAAGATCTGATTCTGCCAAAGGTGACAGACTTGCAGAAATTTCCATCATTAATAATAAGAAAAAGGAGAGTCCTTATAGAAGGCATGGTCAGTCAGTCTGACCCAGGGAGCAATCCCATCGGACAGGCAGGGCAGGAGTTCTCGAGGGGGAGATGGAGGCCCAGCGTGTAGCGGTGCTGGAGGTCTGGGGTCTGAACCCCCACCCTCCCAGTTGTGAAGTCCGAATACATGGAGCTCCTGGCCTGAGCCTAGTATGTGGCGGGTCTCCAGTGGACCCCGGCAGCTCCTGCGCCAAGCTGCTCCTTGTGCCCCTGGGCTGCTGCTTCGCCTTGCTGGCAGTATCTGCAGCCTGCTTGTGTCTCTTCTCCTTCAAGTGCTCTTTGCTGCAACCAGACTCATTTTTCCTTTCATCATAGCCCTTCCCACCTTCATCACACTGTTCCCTCATCCTAGAATATTGTTTCCCTGTGTTCCCTGCCTTCTCCAGCCCTGTTTCTCTAAACATGCAAGTCCTATGGTTCTTTCCAGCATCAAATGCCATCTCCTATACAAAGATGCCCCTGCCCCCAGCTGCAGGGCCTGCTCCTTCCCTAGGCCCCAGGTCACACATCTGCATTTGTCTAGGGACTCAGCACATCCAGTGTGCATGAGGGTTCTCTGCAGGCCTGCGTTTTGTCTCTGGACTAGACTGGCTGCTCTCTGGGGGAGGGTGTACATTGCATTCACCCGTGTTGCCTCAGTGCCAGCCCTGTATGCAGTAGGTGCTCGAAGCACTCTGGTGGATAAATGGGGTAGGGGGTGAACAAGTGAATAAGGAATGTTGGGAGCATGGCAGGGCAAAGACAGAGGGAGGGCAGGAGGGAGAGGTGGATGAGGCCTCAGATGCTATGGCGTTGCCACCGCTCTTGCTGGGAGTGGCAGTGGGCTTACAGCCAGCACTTCCCCAGGGTGAATAACCTCATGGGCTCTGCTCCTCTAGGTCCCGCCCATGTCATAAAACAGCAAGCGCTTCCTCTTCAGGGCTCCAGGGAGAGATGGGGTGACTTAGGGGCCCAGCCCCAGCATGTGGAAGGGTTTATAAGCTGGGGCACTGGGCTCCTCAGCACAAGGCCATTCTTTCTCATCCCCGTGCTCTCTGGCCTCCGGCTCTCCAAGCAGCATGGCCTTCAACGGCAAGTACGAGTTCGAGAGTGACAAGAATTATGACGAGTTCATGAAGCGCCTCGGTGAGTGAGTACATGAGCACCCCTTCCCTGGGCTGGTTTGTCACAGCCAGCCTGGGGCCGCGAATCCAAACTCCTTGAGGCCCAGAGAAGCTGAGTTACTAGTCCAAGGTCGCACAGCTGGTAGTGGGTGAGCTGAAGACTTGATTGGTTTAACTTATTCATTCAGACGTATACGGAACACCTGCTATATGCAAGGGCCAACCTGACGTTGCTGATGGGCTGCCTCAGCACAACATGCCCAGGGTCACACTGTAAAATAGGGGCAGAGATCATTAGAACCCAGGACTCAACGATGAGATGATGCGTGGTACCCGGGGAGAGGGGACCAAGGGTTTAGTATAGAGACCAGGTTCGACAAGCCATGCGTTCATCTGGCCATTCAACAAACATGGGTCCATGGCCCTGACAATCCTGCACAAATCCTGATGCTCTAAGTCTAAGGCAGTGCCATTGTAGAGAGTCAGGGGACAGCCCTAGGCGGGGGGGGGGGGGGGCGGGGCGGGGGGGCACAGGTTCTCCGAGTGGGCAGAGAGGCCGTGAGAGCAGGGCAGGTGTGCCCCGGGGCCCTGGGGAGACAAGAGTCAGTTACTGGGAGTGGCCCCGAAGGAACAGTTACCTGGCTTCGCCTACAACCGGGTGGTGCTGAAAGGGCGCCAGCCTCCGTTGTAGACGAGGGGCTGCTGTGAGCCTCCCCGGAGCCCCTTTCCTGCTCGGGGTCCTCACTGCCTAATCTGTGAAACAAGAGCATTAGAAGACAGTCTTGATGCTCCCATTCATTCAGACCTTGTGACCTTGACAGTGTCTGTTGTCTGTTATTGTGCTAGCAGAACGGCTGGTATTGTCAGCTGTACACCAGGAGTTTTCCAAGACACAATCACTTTAATTCCATCCCTGCGACAGCCCCGTGAGATGGGCCTTATTATCTCCCATCTTGTGGATGGAAACACTGAGGCTCAGGGGGGCAGTGGCTCCTCCCAGCTCCCGGGGCCTGGTGGAGCTGGGATGTGTCTCTTCCCAGCGCACGGCCTGCCCCACGGAGGAAGCCCTCTCCCAGGGCCCCGGTGGCAAGCGGCTCCCACGTGACCGCTCTCCTTGTCCCCGGACCAGGGCTCCCCAACGACGCTATCGAAAAGGGCCGAAACTTCAAGATTGTCACGGAGGTGCAGCAGGATGGACAGAACTTCACCTGGTCCCAGCACTACCCGGGGGGCCACTCCATGACCAACAGGTTCACCATCGGCACGGAGTGTGACATGGAGACCATGGGGGGCAAGAAGTTCAAGGTGAGAGGCCACTGGCCACCCCCCCTTCCTGGTCTCAAGCATGTCCCCTGGGGCTGCACCCCAAGCCGAGCCTCTGTTCTCCCGCCCAGCCTCCAGCCTCCACCCTTAAGTGCCTGAATTACCGGGCAACTTACCCCCCCCCCCCAGTTTTTTGACACTACATCAATAACAGACGCTGTAGAGAAACTGTTCAAGATGTTAATTGACATTTGCCTAGCACCTCGTGTAGCCCAGACACCTGCGGAATACGTCACACGTGTTAATGCAGGGAATCCTACAGAATTGCTACAATTATGGGCCCATTTTACAGGTGAGGGAGCTGGGCTGAGCCACGGGCTTGGTGGCTTGCCCCGGCCCCACGGTCAAGCAGGCCTTCACACCCAGGCAGCCTGGCTCCAGAGAGCGTGACCTCCGTGTAGGCCAGACATGAACAGCCCTAGAACCGGATTCATGCGCGTTCGAAACCGCAATCTTACCTAAGAAAGAAGTTGAAGGTGCCCTCCTCATCCTCCTGAGCCTGGCCCCTCGGGTCTCCCACCCATTCTAGGTCCCCTCTATCGCCCCTGACCGTGACCGTAAATACTCTGCCCCTTAGGCTGCCATGGTGGAGAATAAGTGGTCATAATGTTCTTATTCTGTCTCTTGTGTATTTTATTTCTTAAAGATTTTATTTACTTATTTTTTTTTTTAATTTTATTGGTGTTCAATTTACCAACATACAGAATAACACCCAGTGCTCATCCCGTCAAGTGTCCCCCTCAGTGCCTGTCACCCATTCACCCCCACCCCCCCGCCCTCCTCCCCCTCCACCACCCCTAGTTCATTTCCCAGAGTTAGAAGTCTTTATGTTCTGTCTCCCTTTCTGATATTTCTCACACATTTCTTCTCCCTTCCCTTATATTCCCTTTCACTATTATTCATATTCCCCAAATGAATGGAACATACACTGTTTGTCCTTCTCCGGTTACTGTGGCCAAGTTCAAAAAGGGTGTTGCCTGAGTTCTCCTCTGGGATTTTGATGGGATCTTGTCTCACATTTAGATCTTTCATCTATTTTGAGTTTATCTTTGTGTATGGTGCAAGAGAGTGGTCCAGTTTCATTCTTCTGCATGTGGATGTCCAATTTTCCCCGCACCATTTATTGAAGAGACTGTCTTTCTTTCAGTGGATCGTCTTTCCTCCTTTATCGTATATTAGTTGACCATAAAGTTCAGGGTCCACTTCTGGGTTCTCTGTTCTGTTCCATTGATCTATATGTCTGTTTTTGTGCCAGTACCACACTGTCTTGATGAACACAGCTTTGTAGTACAACCTGAAATCTGGCATTGTGATGCCCCCAGATATGGTTTTCTTTTTTAAAATTCCCCTGGCTGTTCGGGGTCTTTTCTGATTCCACACAAATCTTAAAATAACTTGTTCTAAGTCTCTGAAGAAAGTCCATGGTATTTTGATAGGGATTGCATTATACGTGTAAATTGCCCTGGGTAACATTGACATTTTCACAATATTAATTCTGCCAATCCATGAGCATGGAATATTTTTCCATCTCTTTGTGTCTTCCTCAATTTCTTTCAGAAGTGTTCTATAGTTTTTAGGGTATATTTTGAGAACCATTTGAATGGCAAATGGTTCTCCAACCTTTTATTTTCAGGTTGTAGGTGTCCTTCTGTCTAATATGAGTCTCTTGTAGACAGCAAATAGATGGGTCCTGCTTTTTTATCCAGTCTGAAACCCTGCGCCTTTTGATGGGGTCATTAAGCCCATTCACGTTCAGAGTTACTATTGACAGATATGAGTTTAGTGTCATCATGATATCTATTTAGTCCTTGTTTTTGTGGATTGTTCCACTGAACTTCTTCTTAAAGGGGAGTTTTAAGAGTCCCCCTTAAAATTTCTTGCAGAGCTGGTTTGGAGGTCACATATTCTTTCAGTTCCTGCCTGTCTTGGAAGCTCTTTATCTCTCCTTCCATTTTGAATGAGAGCCTTGCTGGATAAAGTATTCTTGGTTGCATGTTCTTCTCATTTAGGACCCTGAATATATCCTGCCAGCCCTTTCTGGCCTGCCACGTCTCTGTGGAGAGGTCTGCTGTTACCCTAATATTCCTCCCCATGAAAGTCAGGGACTTCTTGTCTCTTGCTGCTTTAAGGATCTTCTCTTTATCTTTGGAATTTGCAAGCTTCACTATTAGATGTCGAGGTGTTGAACGGTTTTTATTGATTTTAGGGGGGGATCTCTCTATTTCCTGGATCTGAATGCCTGTTTCCCTTCCCAGATTGGGAAAGTTTTCAGCTAGGATTTGTTCAAATACATATTCTGGCCCTCTGTCCCTTTCGGCGCCCTCGGGAACCCCAATTAAACGTAGGTTTTTCTTCCTTAGAGTGTCATTTATTTGCCTTAATCTGTCTTCATGGTTCTTTAATTGTTTATCTCTTTTTTCCTCAGTTTCCCTCTTTGCCATTAACTTGTCTTCTATGTCACTCACTCGTTCTTCCACCTCGTTAACCCTCGTCGTTAGGACTTCTAGTTTGGATTGCATCTCATTCAATTGATTTTTAATTTCTGCCTGATTGGATCTAAATTCTGCAGTCATGAAGTCTCGTGAGGCCTTAATGCTTTTTTCTAGAGCCACCAGTAGCTGTAGAATAGTGCTTCTGAATTGGCTTTCTGACATTGAAGTGTAATCCAGATTTTGTAACTCTGTGGGAGAGAGGGCTGTTTCTGATTCTTTCTTTTGAGGTGAAGTTTTCCTTCTAGTCATTTTGCTCAGTGCAGAGTGGCCAAAAACAAGTTGTATTGGAACACGGGGGAGTATCACTGGTCCCTCTAGCTGGTCTTCTGGGGGAGGGGCCTGCTGTGCTGATTTTCAGGTGTTAGCACTTGGGGGAGCTGCTCTGCCCCTGCCTGCTGCAGGGCTCAGCGGGGGTTGTTTACCCCGTGGGGCCCCAGGAGGAACAGCCGCAGTTGCTATGGCAACTCTGGAAGCCTGGATTCAGCCTCCGCAGGAACTACGGGGCTCGGGGCTCTCGGTTCTCCGTCCGCAGGGCCTGGAGGCTCCGGGGCGGGGCCGCTGATCTGCTCAGCTCGGGGCAGGAGCGTCCTCGCTGTCCTGGGCCCTCCCGGCCTCTGCCTGTCCCGGGGGAGGCCGGATCCTGGGCTGTGTCCCGGCGCCCTGTGCTCCGGGGCCTGCGCTGTTGGATTCGCGCTCCCGCCCCGCAGCTCCCTCCCTGGAGCCGCTCCCGAGCCCCTCCGAGCTGCTCCGGTCGGTCCCTCCGTGCGCGCTGCAGCCCTTAGGGAGCTCGGCGCACTCTCCCGGGGCGCAGGTGTCTGTTAGTGTCCCCGGGAGCCCGAGGGCATCCCCGCCCTCCTGGGTCCTGCTCCAACTCCCTGCGAGCCCCTTTCCGCCCGCCCGGGAAGGTTGGTGCAGCTCCTGCTCCTCCGGGACGGGGCTCTCCTGTCCTGGGGACACTCGCCCCGGCCTCAGCCCGGCTCCTCGCGGGGCCCCTCCCCCTCGGAGGCCTTTTGTTTCTTTATTTCTTTTTCCCCGTCTTCCTACCTTGATAGAAGCGCGGAATCTTCTCACTGTAGCGTTCCAGCTGGTCTCTCTTTACATCTCAGGCCGAATTCGTAGATTTTCAGGATGGTTTGAAGGTTATCTAGGTAACTTGGTGGGGACAGGTGATTTGGGGACCCTGCTCTTCCGCCATCTTGCCCCTCCAAGCTTATTTACTTATTTTTGTGAGAGAGAGACCGAGAGAATGAGAAGGAGAGGTGGGGGGGAAGGGCAGAGGGAGAAGCAGCCTCCCCGCGGAGCAGGGAGCCTGATGCAGGGCTCCATCCCAGGACCCTGGGGTCAGGACCTGAGCTGCAGGCAGCCACTTAACCCACTGAGCCACCCAGGTGCCCTGTCACTTGTGTATTTTAAAAATTTAACAATTTCTCATGATGTCGTTCTGTGTCAGCAAGTATTGATTTGCCTTGTTCTTTTCAATGCTCGCACAGTATCCTAAAGTAAGGAAAGGCTAGCATTCATTTGACAGTCCCTCTTTGATAGATATTTAGGTTACTCACCGGTGGAGAGTCCAGGCTGGATATTTAGGTTGTTTACAATTACAAACAATGCCGCAATCCACATCCTGGGTGACATCACCATCATCCTAGCAATGAGGATCATAAAACTAACTCCACAGTTGACAAGGAGGGCTCACCACGTTCTAAGCACTTCCCACATGTCACATGAAATCGTCCAATCCTCGTAAGAACTCTGCAGCAGGTCCAGTTGCCATCCCCATTTTAGAGGTGACAAAGCTGAGGCACGGCAAGGCTGAGTGACTTGCGCGTGCTGTCTCTATCTTTGGATATATGTCATCGTACATCTACATGGCAAATTAAATCCCAGAGGGGACAGCTGGGAGAGCTGCTGGGAACCCTTCCTCCCTCCCGGGCTGGCCTGTGGGGGGCCCTCTGCCAAGCAAGGGTCAGCGTTTTGCTTCTCTTCCAGGCTACCGTGCACATGGACGGGGGGAAGATAGTGGTGGACTTCCCCAACTATCACCAGACCTCGGAGGTTGTGGGTGACAAACTGGTAGAGGTGAGTGTCCTGCTGGTTCTTGGGACAGTGATGAGAACAAGTTTCTGCCTCCTGCCATGGCCCCTGAGAGACGGGCCTCTGGGCCCTGGCTTCTGGGCACTACCCATGCACTGGGCTCTGTGCTGAGCACCCAGTGTACATCATCTTGTTGGCTCTTCACAATAAACCTGTTAGGGAGGCATTTTTATCTGCATCTTCCAGGTGGGGGGACTGAGGCACTGGGAGCTAATGCTTAGCTGGAGGCCACCTAGCCTCTCTGCCAGTACTGGGAATGCACGCTTGCCAGTGACTCTGCCACCTTGGGGGCACCAGTGCCGAAGCCCGAGGGCCCCTCCCCAGAGTCCGGGTGGGCCCTGCAAGGGCAGCGGCCCTGCTGTTGCACTTCCCTAAGGGACTTCAGGCCCTTCCTGCCTGGCCTTCTGATTTTTCTAGAGAAGCTGGAAATTTGCACTTTTCTGTGAAATCTCCAGACTGCTAAACATTGGCAATGAATCAAACCTTTTAAAAGAAGTGGATTAAGAAATCTACACACACACACACACACATACACCCCTGTGGATGGACCCTTCCCACACTTGCTGCTCTATAAACACAGACTGGAGGTGCTGCTCTCACCTCACTTCCATTTCCTCTCTTGGGGCTCCAGAATTTTCCACAGGTGAAAGAAATGGATGTGAAGTCAAAAGCAAAAGGTAGGTTCTTCCACACTTCATTCTCCCCTTGTGAGTCCCAGCTCCCTGGGCTCTAGCCTACCCTCGCCAGGCTCCCCAATCCCCCCTCTCTCTTTTTCTCTCCCTCTTGTTTTCTCGTTTTCCTCATCTCAGACCCAGTCTAGGGGCCCAAGAGACTCAGTGACCTCCCATTATTCCCATTTTACACAGAGACCATAGAGGCTCAGGGATAACAAGTAACTTGTCCAAAGCCACACAGCTAGTTCATGGTGGAGGCAGGTCCCACTGGCTGGCTTCAGGACCAGGCTCTCTTCCAGCTCTTCCCAGGCCAGTGGGTCTTTTTTTTTTTTTTTTTTTTTTTAAAGATATTATTTATTTATTCATGAGAGACACAGAGAGAGAGGCAGAGACACAGGCAGAGGGAGAAGCAGGCTCCATGCAGGGAGCCCAATGCAGGACTCGATCTCTGGACTCCAGGATCATGCCCTGGGCCAAAGGCAGGTGCTAAACCACTGGGCCACCCAGGTGTCCCCCAGTGGGTCTTTAATTAAAAAATACAAATCTGGGATGCCTGAGTGGCTTAGCAGTTGAGCATCTGCCTTCAGCCTAGGGCATGATCCTGGAGTCCTAGGATCAAGTCCCACGTCAGAAATAGGCCAGGTCAATAGAAATTGACCTCTTAGAATATCTGATAAAAGCTTTGGACACATTTTTACATTGAATGTCAACCAGTGGGTTCTGACTCCCAGAAGCAAAGCTCGTGGCCTGTGAAGTATGTGGGGAGAACCCAGGGCAGGGGAACCAGAAGTAGGTTGTACCCAAAAGGAGGATCAATCTTCCCAAACCGAACAAACCTGTTTACTGATTCCTAGAGGCTCCTGAATCTGGAGCCTGCATGGTATGAGCAGTGCCCAGAGCTCAGGGTTGTCACCAACACACACACACAAACACACGCACACGAACATGCGTGTGCATACATATGCACACATGCACACAGATTGGGCACCAGAGAGAAGCTGTTTTGGTTGCACATCTCCCATTCCTAGAGGCCCAGAATCTTCCGGGTCACCTCTGTCCTTCTCTACCAATGGGGAGTGCATTAGGTGGGCATCCCTCCTCCCTGGCTGGGCCACCAGCAGCCTCTCACCATGCTCTCATCATCTCTCTAGACCAAGTCTCAGCCTCCTCCCTGCTTGCAGCCCACACTCTATCTTGCTCCATTTGCAATTTCACACACCACTTCACACTGCTGCCCTTGACAAAACTGCTTACACAAAACCCCATGTTTTGGAGCCACCCACTTACTTCCCATGAGAAGGCTGCTTCCTCTGTTGGGTATCAGGATCAACTCACGATAGGGTATTTGTGTGTCCCACGCCAGTGGGTCTTGATGGCCTCGGGCCCGGAACACAGCACACAGTGGGCCTTCACTAAACAGCGCCCCCTTGCCTGCACCTCCCATAAAATCTTACACTTCCCCCAGGACAGGGACTCTATCTTCCCATCACCAAACACAGGGACCCCATAAATGCTATGTGGTGCAGAGGCTGAGTGTGGCCTCTTGATCTTAAAGGGGTTACTTGACTCCTCTAGCCTTCAGTTTTCTCATCTGTACAATGGGTATAATCCTACAGCATTGTTGGGAGAAGTAAATGGGAGAACACATGGGAAGTGCTGGGAGTAGGTGAACTTCAATGAACAGACAGGTGGAAGATTATACTACGAAGAGCCACATCAGCCCTAACATCTGTTTAGCACTTTTGCCACACTGAGTCTGCACAGAGGCTTGTGTCACAAATTGAGAAACTGAGGTTCATAGATATGGTGCAACCTGCTGACTTCCACTCAGGGCTGGGACTGGACACCCGTCTTCCCCAGCTGTGCTCCATCTCACTTAGGGTCTCCCACACTGACTCCCTGTGTTCCGGTTGCTCTTTCAGATCTCCACCATCGGAAACGTGACCTATGAGCGTGTGAGCAAGAGGCTGGCCTGAGCAAGCATGTGGGGCTGCCCCGGGACCACAAAGCCACTAGTAAAGCTGCGATAAGAACAGACATTCTGTTGGCTCTGAACCTCTTTGTCTTTGTTTTTGTTTTCTGGTATCTTGGGGCAGTTTCTAGCTGGGAAGGGGTGCGAAAGGCCCAAGGATGGCTACTCAGGCCAAACCTTGTAGGCTCTGCAACAGGGCAGAGGGAGGCTTGACTGGGGACTGCAATACTCCCGACCCTCTGGAAGTAGCCAAAGGCGGTGTTCAAGAAGCATGGTGGGCACACTTCCATACACCCTTACCCCTCCTTGCCACCCACCTCTCTGTGGGTAGAGACACAGAGCTGTGTCTCTTGATTTAAAGAGACACATGTCACCTGGGAAGGGTAACACATGGACTCTCACACGGGCCACAGGACAGGTGTATTAGATGGTGGGTAGGAGTAGAAGTGGCACTTCCAGGAAAGGGCCCTGCTGCTGGACCCCATGGCTGGCAGACAAAGGAGAAACATACCAGGGCTGAGCCAGAAAGGTATTTTAGCACGGCCGTGGCTCTGCTGTTAATTGGCTGTGGAGGCATCCTTCTGGGCCTCAGTTTACCTAGTGGTACAAAGGAGGGCCACAAAGACCAATGAGGGACCAAGGAGAAATGAGAGAGTACTAGATGGCAAAGGGGCCATGGGAGTGACACGAGGGACAAGAAGGGACTGGAAGGTCCTGGTTTGCACAGGGGTGCCTGGGAGAAGCTGCAAGGTGCTTTGGCTGGCTGGGAAGGATGGTCCACAGGGTCCTTCTGACCTCCTGGTGGGAGCCTGGTGCCGAGTGCAGGATTCTGACACAGGATTTGGGTCATCCCTGCTTGATTATGTCTGTTGGGGGCATGGGAGTGGAGGGGGGGCAGCTTGCCCCCTGGCTAGATAAATCCCTCACCCCGAGCACCCAACGGTCCTTTTTCTGTTCTCCTTCCTCCCTGGCAACGACACCACCTTGACTTCTTACATCATATTTTTCTGTATGACAATTCACTTATTTTTTTCTGCAATGGAAACTTTACATCACTTCTATATTTCAACATCATTTGCCATAAATAGATGAAAACTATCAAAAAAGCCAAAACTGAACAAAGCTAGATCCCGTTGCCTGCCCAAAACCCTGAGCCTGTGTCCTCCCTTGGTGAGGACAGAGATGTAACAGAGCAGCATCAAGTGCACAACATTTTCCTTGACGAAATCAAGTTACTGCCAGGCTACCGAAAACAGAACATACTCGCTCTGAGAGCTGATTATCTCAATTATCTTGAATGCCCAAGTCCCAGATATGGGGCATTAGAAATAAGGTTTGCTCAGCGCTTTGCACAGGGCCTGGCACATAGCAGGTGCTTCGTAATTGCTACCTGACCCAAGGCCCTTCCAGCCCATGGAATGTGCAGTCCTTCAGTGTCACAGGCCGTCCTCAGCCTGGACAGGTGGCATGGCCCAGCTCGCTGGCAGCTCACTCCTGACTCCTCCCACATTCTGCCCTGAAACTTGTTTATCTTCCCAAGAACAGCACTCAGCCTTCCCCAACCCCCACCAAGCCAGGACCCCGTACATTCCATCGTTTTGCCGAGACCTATTGCTAATTAAGTGAACTAGGTAAGCATTAAATTAAACTAGCAGTGTTGCTGTTTCCCCTCCAGACTGAATAATTACTCATAATGAGCTTGGATAATAAGTCTCTAAATAACAGAGAGTTAACCATAATTAGGCTGAAAATTGAGAGATTGAGAGAAAGAGGGAGGAGGAGGAAGGGAGAGGAGAGAGAAGAGAAGGAGAGAGGGGGAGGGGAGAGAGGGAGGTAGGGAGAGGGAGAAGGAGGAGGAGGTAGAGGAGAGGAGAGTTGAGACTGTTTTTACTCTGGCAATTGATTCAAGGACAGATTCAAATTGTTAGCAAGAGAGAAATCCTTAAGCCACTATTGTTAGAGAGTCACAGACGCATAGGATCTCAGAGGACCTCAGAGCTCAGCTAGTTTAAATTCTATTGCACAGACATGGAAACAGAGGCTCAGAGAGGGGAGGACGTGTCTACAGTACACAGCAGAGAGTGAGTCTCTGAGAACAGTGTGGGTAGATGGAGTAAGGTGAGCTGGAGTAAAGCATCCATTTTGCTGGCATCTTGGTGGGGAAGTGTCCTCAGCCAGTAGAAGGGACAGCGGTTAAGAGCTTTGACTCTGGAGACACATTGCCAGGGTTCGAATCCCTTTTCTACTGCCTGGAAGCTGTGTCACCTTGGGGTATGTTCATCCATTCCTCTGAGCCTGTTTCCTCATCTGAAAATAGGGGTAATTGTACTTGCCTGATAGAGCTGTCATGCTGCAAGCTCACGACATATTAGCTGCTGCCACCGTGACCAACCACCATCACCTCCATCATCACCACCATTCTCAACCAGCGTGATGAGAGGGTTAGCTGCCTCCTTCACTGACTCAAGTCACGTGCACAAGCCGCTGGATTTCTGTAAGTCTTACTTTGTCCGTGTGTACAACGGACCAATAAGACCTTTCCTTTCTGGGTCATGAGGGAGAGGCAAGGATAAAGGGTGAAAACCCATGTTCCTGGCTTCCAAAAAGTTAGAGGAGCTTCATCATTTTGCTGCACTGTTCAAGATGCCGTGGTGACTCCCCACTCCACAGGCCTCAGTCCGGGTGCCCTTTACCCCAGGCTCGTCGTGACCTTCACTCTGACTCTTGGGAGTCCTCTCTTTCACTCTGCCAGGGCAACTGCTCGGCTCCCTCCAAGTCATCCGGTGAAGCAGGAGCTTTCCAAAGCAACTTTAAAGAACAAACACCACTGGGTGATGCTCCACACTCCCCAGCTGCTGCCCTGGGAACACCGGCCAGTGAGTGAGTGTTGGAGGCGGGGCGAAGGGTGGACAATGAGATCCTGAGTGGTTGGGCTTTGGTGGCAGAGTGTATGTGTCATGTAGGGGTGACATGGCATTGGTGGCTACATGGCACTCCTCAATCAGGCATTTCTAAATTTGAGACCAATCCCTACCCCTCGCTCATATTCAGACCTGGAGCCTTCCTGAACCCCTGCGTCTTCTTCTGGAAAATGGTAGTAGCAATACTAGCTCTTGGTGGTGGTGTGAGGATGGGAAAAGACTGGGGGGGAGGGGGGGAGAGAGCAGGATTTAAGTGTCACATATATACAGGCCCTAGAACGTTGTAAGTGCTCACTAAACAGCTATAAGGGCTCCTCTTGGTGGTTCTACTGGGGGAAGGGGCACACACAGGGTCAGAGATTTAAAGGAGGGAGAAGTGTCCAAACCTGCCTGTGCACGAGCATCTCCTGAGGGTTCTCCTAAAAGGAGAGCCCAGGCGCTACCCTAGACATGCTGAACTGCACTCTTCGGTAGGAAGACCAGAGAACTCTCACTGTGAAGTGCTCCCCAGCCACACATGACTTTGGACACTGCTCCAGTCCCAGTGCTCCCATTTTTGCCGAAGGCATGCCTTTCTGTGTATCCAGCCCGTTGTGCCTCTGGGAGAACACTGGTCAGAGCTGGCCCAGCAGAAGCCAGACCACTTGTGTTTTTCCTTAGAAGCTAGAGCTAGGTCAGAAGAGAAGCTCAGAGACTCGCCGGAGTCCCCAGAGGAGGGAGAGGCCCGCTTATTTACACTCTTTCTCATAGAATTCACCGTTGAATAATGATACTATCTATTCCATGCTTTGTTACCATAAACCTGAAGCGGAGCCCAAGCTGATAGCCATTCCACCTTATAAATGAGGACACAGAGGCTGAGAATAGGGAGGTGGCTTTTTCCAAGGTCATCAAGCTAAGAACAAACTCAGACCTTCCACCTTTGAGGCCCAATGTTTTTTTTTTTTTTTATAAATTTTTATTTATTTATGATAGTCACAGAGAGAGAGAGAGAGAGAGAGAGAGAGAGAGAGAGGCAGAGACATAGGCAGAGGGAGAAGCAGGCTCCATGCACCGGGAGCCCGATGTGGGATTCGATCCCGGGTCTCCAGGATCGCGCCCTGGGCCAAAGGCAGGCGCCAAACCGCTGTGCCACCCAGGGATCCCTGTTTTTTTTTTTTTTTTTAAAGATTTTATTTATTTATTCATGAGAGAGACACACACACAGAGGCAGAGACACAGGCAGAGGGAGAAGCAGGCTTCCTGCAGGGAGCCTGATGCGGGACTTGATCCCACAACCTGAACCAAAGGCAGACGCTCAACCACTGAGCCACCCAGGCACCCCAGGCCCAGTGTTCTTGTCTATATACTGGAAGTTTCATGCTTCCAGACCAAGAACTATTCTAACTCAACAATGTGTTTTACTGATCTTCTCTTGTATGTGTTTTTTTAAATTTAATTTTGAAATTAAGTGAAAAATTAGTAGTTTTCCTGGAAAGTAGAGATTTCTAGTTGCTCTGGACATCTGAAGGTTCAGCACTGCAGAGCATATGCCCCTAGAAGGTAATAGTTGACCACAGCTGAGTAGAAGCCATATCCTCTAGGGAGATACTGGTTTCAGTGCAGCACCCACCAGGTCACTCTTGATCACCCAGCTGGATTCACTACATTACCTGCCTGATCCTTGTGTGTATTTGGATTTGAGACTCCTGCGAAATGCTCTGGCCTTGCTGCTGAAATTCAAGTCACAGAGGTCTTCCCTTAGAAACCTAGAATGGGGTGAATGAGGCTGGTAAGTCTTTGCTAGGCATTTGGGGCCAGGGACTGCTAGAGTCAGCCCCAGATCACCAGCTTCACAGATGGGGTTCAGGCAACCCCTCCCAGACCATAGCTTGCTGGAGGGAGACAGATGGAGCCGTAAATCACGTTAGCCTGTGGCAGATGTACAAGAAGCTCTGTTCCTGCATTTCTGCCCGTTGGTGAGCACGCTCTGAGAGCACGCCTGCCACCCCGTAAATCAGGAGCATGAATGCCTGGCAACTCTTTTCTTTTATGAACCCGTATCCATTATCCTGTCATGTCTTTCCTACCAGGTGAGTGAGATGGCCAGCTGGGACAGTGACGGAGCCTTTCACTCATTCAAAACCCTTGACTGAGGTACAACA